AGAATGAAGGGAGTAGAGCTAAGACGGGGAGAGAAAGAGAAAATCCCCGTGATCGCGTTTGAGTTGCTGGATCCAGCCATACTGAAGCTGAGGAGATGCTTCTAGGTTTCTCAGACCTTGCCTTTTTTTTTTTTTTTTTTTTTTTCATAAACTGCTCTGACTTGGGTTTCTGCCACTTACAACCAAGAGTCCTGCCTACTCTGCCATCAATATCACTGACCTTCTCCTCAGGGGCCAGGGCCAAGCTTCCAAGGACCAGAAGAAATTGGGGGTTGGGCAGTCATGGGGGTTGGGCAGTCATGTGTTTACACTGCAGAGAAGGAAACGAAGAACTCGGAGAAGGCAGGCAGAAGCAAAGCCAGGCAGAGATCCTCCGATTCAGCTCCCAATTCTCGGTAAGAAACGAGACTCCCTTCCAAGTGCGGCAGCTGCTCTTCCGTGTCCCGCGGGTCTTCCCGGCAGCCCCTGCAAACCTCACGCCTTCCTCTACTCCCCTGGCCCAGAAAGTGTCCACTCACCTGCTGCATCAGCCTCTCTGCCACTCTGGGGTCACTGAGGTCTTCCGGGGAGGCCACACTCAGCCGCAGGAGGAGGAAACCTACATTTTCACCTGCAAATGGAGAACAGTAAGATGAAAATCAGGGCTGGGGGCGGTGGCTCACGCCTGTAATCCCAGCACTTTGGGAGGGCGAGGCAGGTGGGTCACCTGAGGTCAGGAGTTCGAGACCAGCCTGGCCAGCATGGTGAAACCCTGTCTCTACTAAAAATACAAAAATCAGCTGGGCGTGGTGGCTCACGCCTGTCATTCCAGCTACTCAGGAGGCTGAAGTGGGAGGATCACCTGAGCCCTGGAGGTGGAGGTTGCAGTGAGTCAAGATCACGCCACTGCACTCCAGACGGGGTGACAGAGTGAGACTCCATCTCAAAAAAAAAAAAAAGGTCCTGTTTACTGCAGCGCTGTTTGTCTTAATGAAATACTAGAAACAACCTAAGAGTCCATCCATGCAGAACTGGCTAAACAAGTGATGGTAAAACAAAACAGAACGAAGAAAGAATAGCTTTCTGAAGGACAGGGAAGCAGGGAGGAGCTGATCAAGGGGGTGACATTTCAGTTATGCAAGATGAGTGAGTTCCAGCGACCTGCTGTACCGCACCGTGGGTAACACTGTATCACAGCATCTCAGAGCACAGATCTCATGGTAAGTGTTCAAACGACAATAAACACAATTTTATCACTGGTCAGTAAAACTAAGGCAATAAGCTTGGGCGCGGTGGCTCACCCCTGTAACTGTCTCTTATACACATCTAGATGTGTATAAGAGACAGGCGACCTGCTGTACCGCACCGTGGGTAACACTGTATCGCAGCATCTCAGAGCACAGATCTCATGGTAAGTGTTCAAACCACAATAAACACAATTTTATTCACTGGTCAGTAAAACTAAGGCAATAAGCTTGGGCGCGGTGGCTCACCCCTGTAATCCCAGCACTTTGGGAGCCCGAGGCGGGCGGATCACCTGAGGTCAGGAGTTCAAGACCAGCCTGGCCAATATGGTGAAACCCCATCTCTACTAAAAATACAAAAATTAGTTGGTATGGTGGCACACGCCTGTAATCCCAGCTACTCAGGAGGCTGAGGCAGGAGAATCGCTTGAACCCGGGAGGCAGAGATTGCGGTGAGCCGAGATTGCACCATTGCACTCCAGCCTGGGCAACAAGAGCAAAACTCTGTCTCAAAAAAAGAAAAGAAAAGAAACAATCCCACAGGTTACACGTGTGAAGAGAACTGGCTGGGGGTACAGCCGGGGAGGAAGACATTTTATGATGTACCTTTTTATGCTAATCAGCCAATAATAAAGAAAGGTATTTTTCTTTCCAGGGCAGTTTAGCTACCATCTTTAACCCTGTCAGATGCGGTCGTGTTACCCACCTCCTAAGGCTGTTTTGAAGGTTAAATAGAGGAGATAACATACACAAAGCTGGTGGCACTGCCTGGCATCACACTGCCTGGCATCACACTGCCTGGCATCAGAGAGAACGTCCAGCGGGGGCCAACGCTTACTGGCTTACTGGGTGTGAAACATGTTTATATCACCCCTTTCTACAATACAAAAGATATTCAATAATATCCTTATTTATTGAGTGGCTGTGATTAATGTTTGTATTCCCACCTCCCCCAGAAAGGTGGGAGCAAGCTGTGGATACACAGAGATGAGGCCCAAGGGCAGAGTGACAGCAAGTGGAGGTGGAGGCTACAGGCTGGCCAGAAGCTGGACTGGCCAAGCAGCCTCTGACAATGAACTCTCCCCTGAGAAGTCCCTGTTTGTTGCCTCAGAGATGTAGCTTTAAACTCCCAAGCCTTTGCTGTATTTGTTTGTTTGTTTGTTTATTTTTGAGATGGAGTTTCACTCTCGTCACCCAGGCTGGAGTGCAGCAGCGTGATCTCGGCTCACTTCAACCTCCACCTCCCGGGTTCAAGCTATTCTCCTGCCTCAGTCTCCCGAGTAGCTGGTATTACAGGCGTGCGCCACCACGCCCGGTTCATTTTCAAATTTTTAGTAGAGACGGGGTTTCACTATGTTGGCCAGGCCGGTCTTAAACTCCTAACCTCAAGTGATTTACCCTCCTCGGCCTCCCAAAGTGCTGGCGTTACAGGTGTGAGCCACCGCTCCCGGCCTGTGTTCATTTATTTTAAGTCACTATCTATGGCATAAATCCCAGGAAATGCATCCAGCGTGCCCCACTTTCATGGGGTCCCAGCCCGTCAGAGAGCAGCAGCTTGGGCCTGATGCCTGCACGCTGCTCCTCTGTGTGGCTATGGCTGGAATAGAAGCTTCCAGAGCTGCTCAACAGTGAACTTCATAGAAGGTCAGAGCTGAACAGGACTTCGGTGCCCATCCCAACCCTCTCCAACTACAGGTGGGGAAACTGAGGCCCGGAGAGGGAGAGGGACTTGCCCAAGGTCACTCGGGTTGTTAGAGGCAGAGTTGAGACTGAAAACCGTTTCTCCAGACTTCCATCTCCACCTCTTTCCATACACAACCCTCCATCTGCCTTTTCCTGATTTCGCCAAGAACCTCTAGAAGATCACGAAGCGGCAACATCAGGGGCAGGCTCCAAATAGGCTCCAGATCCTTCCTTCCTCTCCACTCCTCAAGCGCGGAGACGTCCTGGAAACTCCGCATCCCAAATCGCCAAAGATCACCAGCAGGAGCCACTTACCTGCACTCACGTCTGTGGTCGGCCTCGTCCGAGCAGTGGTGGGCGTGGCTGTTGGGGGCTTCATCGGGGTCTTCGCTGAGGCTGTGGTCTTGGCTAAGGTGCTGTTCGTCCCTCGGCTGCTGTTGGCTGTAGTCGGAGGGACAGAAGGAAGACGGTCCCTGCTGGTGGGGAAGGGCCCCTTGGTTGTGACGTCTGCAGTCGGTGTCTCTGAAGGGGTGAAGTTCTTGATAATGGCTTCTGAGGGGCTGTAGGAGGAAGCACAGCCCCCAGCAAAGGAAGCTGTTTTGCCCACTGTTGACCCGGCCTCTGTGGAGACGAGAGCTGCTCCTGAGACTTTGACGCAACTTGGTGTCTCCACAGAGAGGGCTGAGGTTTCTTCCAGGGGATTCCCGCTACCTGTGGCCAGAGTTCCACGGAGGGTCGTGGCCCTAGGTGCTGTCACTTCTCTTTCTGTGGTGCTGTTGGTGGGGAGTGGGGTCCCAACCGTGGCATCAGGTGCGGTTGACTCTGTGGTGCCGGCTGTGGACAGGGTCTCGGCAGAGGCTGTGGCCTCGGTGCTGTGTGGTTTTGCATCAGTGGAGTCAAGCAGAGCTGGTGGACTGGAGGTGGGCGAGGCCTTCATCCCTTCCGTGGGGATGTGATCTGTGTCTGAGGCCCCAGGGATGCTGAAAGTCCCTGTTTCTGTTTCTGTGATGCTGCAATTGATAACCTCGATGGGGGTGACGGTCACCAGGGCTTCAGCGAGGAGAGCGACGTCAGATCCCAGGGACCATGACGGGGTGATGGCTGGATGGGGGCCGTCGGAAGAGGCGCTGCTGTCTGAGGCCAGGCCCTTAGCTTCTGTGGAGGTGTGAGCCGATGTCGATATGTCCGTTGTGCGTGTCTTTGCCTCTTCAGAGCTATCATCGGTGTGAAGGGTGTCAAAGACGGCTTCCTTGGGATCACTGCCTGTGACGGTCTCAGCTGTGGTCATTCCAGGTCCCTCGGGGCGGCCAGTGGCGGCAGATGTCTCCGCAGAGGTGGCGATCAGCACCGTGCGGTCGGGAGGTGTTTCTGTGGAAGTCCTGGTCTCTGCTTCTGGAATGGGGCCGGCTGGGGTTGAGGACCTACAGGAGGTCTCAGCACTCAGAGTTCGAGTTTCCAGAGCCGCGTGGCCTGGTGCTGGAGTCAGAGCGGCGTGGCCTGGTGCTGGAGTCAGAGCGGGCACTTCTGTGTCATCCATTGTCATCGCAGCGTCTGCTCTGCGGCTGCTGGGGCCTGTGTTGGTTAAGATTGACTTGGTGAGCCTGGGTTCCAGTGGACTTCACGCAAGCGATTTCGTTTACACCCTGGGCACTTCTGGGAGGAGGGTGGGGAGGGGAAGTGCTGTTACCTCCTTTTTCTTCTACATAAGCGAACAAGAAGGAGGCAGTCCTGGGAAGCCCAGGCCCGTGTGGCAGCCACAGAGCTGGGGTTGCCATGACTGGCGTCCTCTGAAGCCCTGACAACTCACTAGGGGCCAGCAAGCCCCGGGATCTGCTGGCTCTCGGCCTGCGTCTTTAACAGGGGATGAGTGGGGCCAGCGTCCACCTTCCAGGGTGAGCCAAGAAGGCAGAGCAGCGTCCAGGACTCGCAGAGCTTTCTGAACCTGTGTCCCCTTCCCCGGCCACGTTTCTCATCCAACACATACCTCCCCACGGAAGTCAAAACCCTTCAGAGATGAGAAAGGCCTTTCGGGGTGGCTGGGTGGACCGAAGGGAGGAGCCTCCAGAGACAGGGTGGGCAGTGCTGCTGCCAAAGCGAGGGGGCCGGCAGAGTCCTTGGGGCTCCGGCAAGGGAAACAGGGCGCCCCACCCTGCCAAGGCCCCTCCTGAATGAGGCTGAGAACTGCACGGTTGGAGCTCGGGAACCACAGAAACTGTGGCCAGGCATTTTCCACAGGACACAGGGAGCCAGCTCAGGCAAAACCTAGCCTTTCAGAGAGCGGCTGCTGGCACTTCTGCCTAGAGCAGAGGCCT